AATTCACTCTAAACTACTAACTAAATCGACTGAAGTAACTATATATTAAATCAATGTCTTTATGCTCGGATATCCTGAGGTGTAAGCAAAGAGAATGGAGCCATTTTTCGTTTCTTTATTACACAACTCTTTTTTTCTCACTAGGTCGTCAGTGTTAAGCCTTCGGCCATTATCTTTCGATATCACGTAAATAATATGACCCTGAAAGGTATATTTTGACCTTTTGCGACTTCTTTATCATTCCTTCCTTCTTTATTATTATTATTCCACTCTCGCGTTGTATATCAGTTTCATCATTCTTGTTTTGCACTTTCTGGCTAAAGGTTTTTCTATCAATGAGTTTTTCCAACGCTCTATGTGTGGTGTTTCCTCATTCATGCTTTTATCATTCTTTTATCTTTCTATGTTAGTGGTGTGCCTTATATCTTGGAAGTATCCCTTCTAGAGACACTTCCAAGATATAAGTTCTTGTACACTTGTACGCAGACCATATAAAAACAAGAACCGCTGGAGCCTAAGATTCAGGATAATTCAGGCACTGATGCTACTCAATTTTTAAATTAAGTGTAATTTTATTTTTGATCAATGTAATTATTATTATAAGATTATATTAATTTGGTAACATGACATAATCGATTATTATTCTGACATATTTTGATACTACTGTGCTTATGAGAAAAGTGCCAAATGTTATCAAGATGTGTTTTATTGCTGCTACGTTAATTATCTATCGTCTATAAAAATATATAATTTATTGATGTAACAGATAAATTTGAATAAAAATATAATTTAGAGATATAATTATTTACATACATAAGCTGAACAAACGAGGTAATGTCTCGATTTTGTGACGTAATAAAGAATATTTATAACTAGCTGTGCCCGCAACTTCGTCTGCGTGGGAAGTATTTTGGTAGAATTCTTTTATTCCTATGAATGGAGTCGAATCGAATAAGATCAATGGGCCATAACCCACTGTGCTTAATGCGGATCGGTGGGTGTTCACGTTGCTGATGCAGCCAGGACTAACAGCTTAACGTGCATTGTGCCAGTGCTGTGCACAGTGCTCAAGATAATAATGTTTTGGTCACCCATCCTGTCCTTACGAATGTAATTTTTCTATCTTTTTTCTCGTTTCTCGCGCTCTGGTTGTCGCCTGTGTCTGAGAATTTTATTCGTACCTTGAAACTGTCCTTCTTTTGTTTTTGATATTTTAAAATTATTATTATTTATCTAGTTGAATGCACAATCAGCTATTTATTGTTCTATTTTCCATGTAATGCTAGGTTGCCTGGAAGAAATCGCTTGCTAGCGATGAGTTTGTCGTTTGTACTTAGTTATGTAAAATAAGTATTCATGTATGTCCTTGTTTATTTCACTGCAATTTAAACCGAATGCGCTAACCCACTACGCCATCGGACCTCTTATACCTAAGATATACTTATATTATAAAGGGGAAAGATTTGGTTGTTTGTTTGTTTGCATCGAATTTGCCCCAAAACTACTGGACCGATAGTTTCAGAGAGATTCTACCTACGGGAAGCTACATCACGGATGTCATAGGCTATAATTTTGCGGCAAAGTTGCGGGAAAACAGCTAGTTCATTATACCTTGTGAAAACTTATCTGCGGTACGCCTGTGGAGTATGAAGGCAACACGGGTTGGCGATAATCGAAACTACTTTCTCGATCTCTATTGCACAAACTGCGAGCTCTTTCAGAGACCAAGCGCATTTCTCTATCAAAGGAAGTTTCATACTCATACCATACTGCATGTATGTTACGGTTAGCAGTTAGACGCGCTATGCGATCTTCAGAAGTTTCCTGAGATCAAACGCTTGTTGTATGAGTTCTCCGAGAGCTCAAGAGAATGTCCCTGACGGTAAATGCTTCAGATTCAACTTTATAGAGCATGAGCCTCGCGATGGGTAGTTAAATACGCTTCGCGTTATTCAGGTGTTTCCCTAGACCGAACGCATTCCGTCCAATCTCTTTCTTTGTCAATAAAAGTCGGTCGGTACATGTCTGACGGAAGATACGTGGAGTTTTATTTATTAATGATATAAAAAAATATATACATATTTTAATTTCGACTTTCCACACTCGAAGGAAATCGTCTACTAACACGTACTTCCGAGAGGTGCTTAACTGAGCTTCCGTCAGATTTGAACGGCCCTCATCATCATCATCAGCCCTTTTACGTCACCAACTGCAGGAGCCTTTTGGATTAAGGAGGATGGGCCACGACCTTCCATGATGGCCCAATGCGAATTGGAGGATATCAACGACTGCAAATACAACCAGGACCAATCGCTTTACGTGCCTTACAAAGCTTGGAGTTGCTTGAGATAATATTTTTTGGTCACCCATCCTGTGACCGACCTTTGTGAAAGTTACTTAACAACTACAATCGCGAGCCATGGCGTTTATTCACTACGCCACCGAGCTACTCTGAACCGATCCTCAGACTCGCGTAATATTATTGTGTTGTGACAAATGAATAAACCATTGTTTCCGGCGAAGACTGAAAATACTAACTTCGAAGTACGAATCTACAGCAAATTTGTATGTTAAAAAAAACAAAGTAGTATTATTATTACATAAAAATTGTAATAAGACAAAAAATATATATATCAATCGAGTTAGTCTTTACCTTCTTAACTTCAGTTGACGTGAATCTAACTTTTTTAACGTCGTGGAAAAGCTTCTGACATTGTCTCTGCTACGTGGCAAGCAACAGGGGGTGAGTAGGATTCTCCTCCGTGAACCCGATAGTGAACTGCCCTCGGTGGCGTAGTGGATAAGCGCCGTGGCCCGCGATCGTTGTCGTTAAGCAACTTTCGCAAGGGCCGGTCACGGGATGGGTGACCAAAAAATTATTATCTCGAGCTACTCCGTGCTTCGGAAGGCACGTTAAGCCGTTGGTCCCGGCTGCATTTGCAGTCGTTAATACCCTCCAATCCGCATTGGGCCAGCGTGGAGGGTCATGGCCCATCCTCCTTAACCATCCATAAGGAAGGCCTGAGGCCCTGCAGTGGGGACGTAAAAGGGCTGATGATGATGATGATGATGACACCGTCTCATGGGAGATGAAACCCGGCAAGCTATGGCCGCGTCACCAGAACACTCAAGTATTGGACTTGACATTGGTCCCCTTGCAGATGGAATATTGGATAGGCTCGGGTAAATCGAGTGCCTCTCTCAGACAGACGAAACCGTGCAATGCGGGGGCTGCCAACCACCTCCGCTAGCCCCGACGACGACGTGAACCTAATCTGATAAAAATATGCGTTCACTGTAAACTACTCGATGCTTAATTGCATCATCGGAAGGCTCTTTTCGCTTGTACTCCTACTCGCGTGATCGTATACCACACGTCCATTATAACCTGAACCCTATTTAATATCATTGGCCATTTATAAATGAGGTCAACTTACTTTGGAGTTATCAAAATTTTGGATTTTTTATTTTTATTTTTCATCATACAAATTATCATTTTATAGACAATATTAATTCGTAGCTGGGTGGCGCTACGGATAAGCGCCACTGCGCACGATCGATATTGCTAAGCAATTTTCGCAAGAGTTGTTCACGGGATGGGTGACCAAAAATTATTAAACAAAGGCCTGAGGCCCTGCAGTTTGACTGTCAAAGAGTTAATGATGATGATCAATATATCAAAGACGAAAATTTAATAAAACAGTTAATATTTCATAGCAATTTTGGCGACCACGTCACTTCAAATTGACATAACTTTTTTATTTGTGAACCGATTGAAATAAATCTCACACTAAATGTTAACGGAAGAATACCGCAATATAATAGTGAAAACTGCATTTCAATCGGTTCAGCCGTTTCTGAGATTATCGTGCACAAACGCACAGACAAACAGACAAACCGACAAACAGAAAACAGACAAAAAATTTAAAAATCATTGTTTTGTGTTCTATTACGCTTATAAATGTCCCTCATAACAGTTTTTTTCATATATCTTCAATGTACAGACATCGATCGGTTACGTTTTTATTATAGTATAGATATAGACTATCTAGCAGTGTATCATATTGTATACATTCAAAAATAACGATTGAGCACAGCAAAGTTCATATCTTTGCTGTGAATTTGACAGCAAAAAAAATAGGACTCATTCAAAGCAACTATATTACGTTTTAGACATTAACCGTTTTTGTTATATAACACGTTGAAAGAACAAATTTTCACAATCAAATTGATCGCAGTTCTGATGGTCATATCAGAAAACATTAAACTGACAGAGGTATACAAAAGGAGTTACGAACAAAGCGTAAGCTACATATGTGTAAAGGCTCTAGACGACCAGTTCTCTCTGCGGGGGAACTCAAAGTATCAGGCGTGAAGATAGTAAAGGACTGGTATGAAAATTTGTATTTCTTAAAATTTATCGCTAAGGGTTCGAAATAGACACAAAAATAATATTATATCCGTAAGTCTAAGAGAGCATTATTATAACAATAAGTTCATAATAAAAACTTTTTATTAAATTCTTCCTTTAACAGAGAAAATATTAACAATATAAAAAAGTCATAATACCGCCGACAAACTCATATTGCCCTAATAAAAATCCAAATGATAATGAAATGTAATAAATTACTTTAGTTTTAATAACTTATCGTGTGTGTTTTTCGGTATATTAAATGATTCCTCCATCTACTTTGGCTTGGAGAGGTCGTTTTTTGCCGTGTTGGATTTTCAAGTCTAACAATACCTTTATTTTTAATACTTTGTGAGTGCAAAATATTTCCATTAATAAAATATTATTACTGAATCGTAGCATACTAAGAAATCTAAAATTCTCATTGTATTCTTATTTCCTGCAGATGCAGGACGTGAGCATTATCGAGTTTTTTGAAGTAACATCAGTGCCGCTAGGGAATTTAATACATCGCATCTACGCTGACTACCTTTCTAGATACTTGCAATCATTCATCCACATAAAATCACAAATACTAAATAATATCAGAATGTCAAAATCTGTCGCAACATCACCAACATCGATACTTAATTCGAATTCATCTCTATCTGAACTAGCAGCACAACCTCAATCAGACTCAGACTCATCACTAAGCATGCCAGAAGAAAGTCGCAACGAGACCGTCAATTCAAAATGTCTCCGCGAAGAAGTATCTCCACAGATCAACGGTATTAGTCAAGTAACATTGCAAGATTTAAAAAAAGAACTATTGATCACGACAGTGCTAAGTTCCTGGAAAATCGAAAAGGAACTATCAAAACTATACCCTCTGTCTAATATTTTAACGGATATAACTTCGCTTAAAACACAGTGCACTGAATTTCAGAGATCTAATACACAAATGGATAATTCAATAACATTCTTATATGCTCAATTAGCAGAGATGAAAAAACAGTTGGAAACAGAAAGAAACTTCTATAAGCAAAAATTTACAGTATTAGAAGAACAAGTTAAAGAATGCCAGCCGCTTTCACGAGCCTCATTTATTGAAGTGAGGAATGTACCTGAATCAAGATACGAAACAGTGTCAGACCTAATAAACTTTATCCAGAAACTGGGTATGACTTTAGACATAAGGATTAACTACCACGATATCCGTGATATATACAGACGTGGAAACCCCGAGAAAACAAAAACTATAGTAGTCGAATTCATGACTGTTCAAATGAAACATATGATTCTTTCTTCAACACGGCGATTTAATAAAAATCGTGCTATAGCAGATAAACTGAACTGTGAGCACATTGGAATGATCGGTGAAAAACGTCCGATTTACGTTGTAGAACACCTATCTATTTCAGGCAGTAAACTTTTCTTTCAAGCTCGTCAATTTTCCAAAAAGTGCGGATATCAATTCTGCTGGACCAAAAACGGTAAGATTTTCCTCCGTGAGAATACAAATACTAAATTCATTCATGTTAAGACGGAGCAATGCCTATCTAATTTAATCGACTTATCTAAAATTTAAATACCTTTATTTTAATTAAAAATAATTAAAAGGTAAACACTACCAGTAATTAATTGCACAATCCACGCAATAATCACGCACATTTTAAACTAATACTTTGGAGGTTTTCAATCAGCTTATATTTTGTGTTGTGTTTGTGTTCTATTGCGCTTTGTGGCGTTGCTAATGCCGGTCTTTTCTCTAATATTCATAAACCAGAACTTCCTCTTACCCTGATACGATAGTGGTTCAAATTTTCCCATCATTATCAGCTGTAATATTTCATATCTGCTATGTGAAAGCGTATCTCCTCGTAGAGGTAATCATTTGTTGATCCCAATTAATGTTAACTGCATCATTCATTGATTTATGTATACTTTACACACCTTTACGCCCCTAATGAGACAGGCTAAAAAGTATAATTGACGCCATTGCTATAGATCAGGGGTGGGCAAATATTTTTATAGACGGGCCACATTGCAGATGAAAATTTGACCTCAGCCCATTTTTTTTTTACAAGTATAATTTTTGCTGAGGTGACATCCTCAGAATTAATTTTAAAAATTAATGAATTTTAAAATCAAAATTATTGAATCAAAATATTTATTTATCAAGTATATATATCAATAACTAATAAAATTGTGCGACTATTATGCATACTGTAATTGTTCAATTATCATAATTACATTTTCGATTAAGAAGCGTTGGAAAGAGCGGTTATCCGGGAGAAAATTTTAGCTCCCACCGGCCCTGATAATGTATTGCTTAAAATTTCATCTAAAATTTTTTAAGCATCATTTATGTTAGACATAAACTAATATTTGTGATTTTTAATAATAATATATACTATGCTTCAAGGGCCAGACAAAATTCTATTCGGGCCGGAATCGTTTGCCCAGGCCTGCTGTAGATTTTTGTTGATATATTTTAATTAAATGTATGAAATATCATTAACTTAACATTGGTGTGTGAGCAATAAAGAGTTCACCTATCTATCTATCTATCAATCACTTTTTACACACATCAAATCTTACCAAAGTCGACTTTTGTCTGGTATTTATTTTACCGCTATTATAACTAAGCCTCCAGTCGCTTCTAAACGAAGTTGGTGCATAATATATATTAAATTTAATAAGCAAGTCACCATTTATATGTAACTATATAATTAAACTCCTTATAAAAACTGCATCCTAAGGTGCTATGAATCTAAAATTTTCTAAGTGTCAGTTTACTAAATCAACGACTTTTCAGAAATATTCATAGTGCTAATGGCTGTACTATTACTAGATATTTGAAAAACTTAATAATTTAAGTATTTTATTACTTATAAAATTTTGTGATCAACGGAAAAAATGTAATTCATTTATGTAAATGGTTCTGTGTAAAATAAGAATCAGTGTAAAATTACAACATTGTAAGCCTCTCTTTTCTTAATTATATGTAAGTAAAGTTGATGGTAATTTGTCGTAGTTACACTAAAGGCGGGTTTACATTTGCTTTTTGATATGCAAATTTACACTAAATATTAATTGTACAAAAAATTTTGTGCACTTAAATCTGTTTGCTTAAAAGTGCAGATTTATAGCAAATGTAAACTCGTTTTAATTTTGCTATGCACTTTAAAATGCAGAATTTTGAAGCAAAAAAAATTTTATGTATGCAGAGCAGCATTTCGAGTCACTATAACTATTATAGTGTATTAACATTGTATATGCGACAGTTAAAAACACAATGAAACGTTTAAGGGTTATATGAGTAATATCATAAGCAATTTTATATTTCGATAAGGCTCTAAATAATTAACGACTTTACGTATTTTAACGAGACTTATGACTAATGATGTAAATTAATTACTACAGAATTACTTCTAAATTTATGAGCTGCAGTTACTTTAACTAAAATTTTAAAATGTAATTAGAACTTCAATATTTGTAGCGCTTTATTGAAAAACTAGCTTTTGCCCGCAACTTCGTCCGCGTGGTAAAGTTAATTTGAGCAGCATTTTGTAACGAATGTCTATTCATTATATCGTGTAAAATACCTGAAATAAAGTTTCATCCCCTATTTTGTCCCCTTACGAGTGGAATTTATCAAAATCTTTTCTTAGGGGATGCCTACGTCGTAGTAGCTTTATGCATGCAAAGTCTCAGCCCGATCGGTTTAAAATTGACAAAGTTTCATACAAACTTTCATCCCCTATTTTATTCCCTTGGGGGTAGGATTGATCAAAATCCTTTTGTAGCGGATGCCTATGTCATAACATCTACCTGCATGCCAAATTTCAGCCCAATTCGTCCAGTGGTTTGGACTGTGCGTTGATAGATCACTATGTCAGTCAGTCACCTTTGAGTTATATATTTTTAGATTCTTAACAAAGTCAATACCTGCAGTCTTATTTTGTCTAAAGTACAGTGTCAAACAGTATTAAAGGTTCTTCAAATAAACCCACTTCAAAAGCTAATTAAGATTTAGTTCGAATATTTTCAGTTCAGTTCAGGTTGATTCATAGATTACCGAAAAGTTTGTTCGCATAAAAAAGTTGATTTATATTTAATGATGGATATTCTTTAATGTAGTAATTAAATGATTATGTTTATAATTACTTATAAAACGATTATATTCTATTATGTAAAAAAAAATTTTCTTTTAACCCTGGAAAATCGGCTAATGACAGCTGAAATTATATTTGTAAAACTAGTAGAAATAATGTCTAACACTATTGATTGCCCCGATTCATTATTGAGCTTAATGTCCTAGGAAATAAACTTCATTATTTTAAGCCAATTATACTTAACGACATCTAGTAAAGTCAAATTAGATCTATTTTGTTCAAGTTGTAACTCAGCAAGACAAATCATCGTAAAACTGCTCACATGACCGAAGAGATAAGAGATTTTTAGTACATTTTTCTTTTAATATACTTAATATTTTTGTGTTTGATTTACATAATTGTAATATTAGTTTGTATCTTTATTATAGTTTGTATCTATATGTGTGAGTCTATAATTGTTTCTCTGTTACATAGTATTATTTATATTTATTTTAAGACACCTGTTGAGTCATTTTTGAAAATAAAATAAAACTGAACACGAGTTTTTAGCTTATTATCTCTCATTCCGAGGTGATGCTAATTTGACTAGGTTATCCAGCAGAACGAAACAAAAGAAATAAAATCAACGTGAGCATTTAGGCTTGGTCTAAATATAATGTACTTGTAAATTGACGAATTTCATAATGTAAAAAGACTTACCGCAACGTCAGTGCATTCGACGTAGCCAAATTTATTTTGATAGGCATAAGCCTAGCTCTCCTAGTCTCAGCTGCAATGCTAGGCGGTGTCTGCGTGGCGACATCACGCCCTCTCCTCTGATTCGGCCCACCTGCTCCACAACCATTCATATAACTCAGCTGGGGATGGGACACGCTCACGCCGATCTTGTTACGCTGCGCCCTAAATGAAATGAAGTAATCAGTCACATTCGTGTGATAATTAATTATATGTTGTTGTTATTTCTTAAAACTCTAAAAGAACATTCGAAGAATGACAGGATTTTGAAATGATGGTTAATCATTTCGTATATTATTTCATTGCTATTGAATGATACTTTATTGTAAAATTTTCAAAGATAGTGTAGCAATTGGCGGTCTTATCGCTAACAGCGATTTCTACCAAACAACCTTTGGATGAAGAAGAATGAATAGCAGTTATGAAAAATGGATGTGTAGACTAAGAGTGCGTAAATTTCTAAATAAATAAGATCTTTTAAGTAAAAGGTATAAACAAAATACTTTTATTATTAAGAGGGAAAAATATTAGTACATGACAAAGCTGTAAATTAAACGATACAACGCCATAACATCGCTAAGATGTCGTATCCTATGGCTAGAATCATGACTAGATAGTTAGGCGGTCGCACCCTTGGACCCACATGGGGGGTCATGGCCCATCTTCCGGTTCTATTCAATTCAATTATAATTTGTAATTTTTATTATTAATTGAAGATGGACTTTATTCAATACTAACTTTTGCCTGCGACTACGTCCGCGTACCATAGTTACTTTGGACAGCATTTGTAAAAACGCTAGAATAAATATTTGTTTAAATAAAATACCTGGTTAATATGTACTGAACAAGTTAACTGTCAAGGATATCGAAACGAAACACAATTATTAATAGCAATATATCCAAAATAATATAAAAACAGTTCGATGTAGAAATATATTTAACGCCATCTAGTATAGCTCAAAAAATATAAAATGTATTTTCTTTCGTATATAAAATGATTTGTGCATGAATATTAAAAAAAAAAACAATGTTATTTTTGTTATATTGTATGTACTGAAGTACCAATTATTATCACTATATAAGGAAATCTTTATAAATAATATTATAAAAATTTATTACAACGCCAAATCAAATAGTATAAACAATGGTTGCTATGGTAACATTTTGATCCTCCATAAAAACTTCCCATCTCATTTTCACCTCTTTAAGTGTTGGTTTTCGAGATAAAATATCACGCCCTCTCCTCCTGTTACCTTCCCAGGGTACGTACTACTCAAATATCAATTAAACCACTCTTATTTCAGCGATAAAGCAAAGAAGTTTCATACAAAAATTAATTAATTCAATCTTTTGTGTTGTTAAAATTGATTCAAGCTCTTAAAGCGTTTTACTCATTGCTGTGCTCTATCCCTTTATACACTCTAAAAAATGGAGGCCAACGAAGAGCGATTTTCTCTTGGTTGACATAATATTGAATAAAACAATAACTTATTTACATAAATCAATCAAAGCTGAAACGTTGAACCAACTAGTTAAAGTGTGGTTAAATTAAAAATTTGGTAACCCTGATTAATTCTATCAAATATATTTATCGTATCTATCATTACTGGATTTTTTTTGTGTGAATCGATTATTTTTAATAGTTAAATTTAACGACTAAGAATGTTGAAGCAATTTATACAAATTAATGAAAATAAATAGGTAAAGTAATAGATTAGACGATTTTTATTGTTGC